TTACATTTGTTCCAAATATTTTGTCAGCTCTTTAACTTTCAATGCTTTGGAATCTCTAGAAGGTTTTAACGTTCATGTAATCCAAATCCATCACAGTTTTTCTTTGTAATTCATTTTATTACTTCTTATACTTTGTGCTTTTCTAAGGAGAGATTGTGAAATGCTCAGTTCATAGCATCTGGCTTCTTCTGGTATATTTCCTATATTTAAATGATCAATGCATCTGGAAAATATCTGGGCACTGAGCGGAAGATAAGAATATTTTATTTCCTCATCCCAAATCAGATAAATTTTAAGCATTATCCATCCATTTATTTTTTGTTCATATGTAACTTTTTGTAAATGACATTTTTAAAATAAATACTCAGGCCAATTTTAGGGCTATTCCGTTCCATTAATCTGTGACAAATTTTTTGTAAAGGAGGCATATGATTTTAATTATTATAGCATTATTCATTTTACTATCTAATAAGTAAGTCCTTATTTATAATTATTCTTTATTTCTCTGAAATTTACAAATGATCGTTAGGGATATTTTCTTAAGTTCCAAAGAAAATCTCAAAGAGATTTTGAATGCAATTTTTTTTTTAACCTAGAAAGTAATTTTATAGTGGTCATGTTTACAGTCTCTTATCTTTCAATTCAGAAATACAATGTATCATTCCATTATGCATCTCTTCTTTTTTGTCTCTTTGTGGTTTTGTTGCTAGCTTCATTTCAAGGTATTGATTTTTCTTTTTTTTGCTATTATTTTCAATGAGCTCTTTTTCTATTAGAAATTTTTATAGGAAAGAATATCTATCTCCATAACTATATATCCTTACTGAATTTTATTGCTAGCATCAATCATTATTTTGATTTATTCTTTGCATTTTCAATGTTGTCTAGTAACATTCCCACAATCCCATCTTTTCCCTTTTGATAGTTATACTTTTTAAAAAAGCTTCCTTTTGCTATCTTATGCATTAACTGGAAATTTCCTAATAACATAAAAATGTGGTGTTAACTAGTAACTTTATCTTCATCCTGCTTTTTAATGAAACTGTTTCCAGTGTTTTATAGTTAATTATGAGGCAGACAACTGATTTAAGAAATGTATTCTTCTGGCCGGGCATGGTGGCTGATGCCTGTGATCTCAGCACTCTGGGAGGCCGAGGCAGGCAGATCACAAGGTCAGGAGTTTCAGACCAGCCTGGCCAATATGGTGAAACCTTGTCTCTACTAAAAATACAAAAGTTGGCAGGTGGGGTAGCAGGTACCTGTTGTCCCAGCTACTCAGGAGGCTGAGGAAGGAGATTTGCTTGAACCCGGGAGGCAGAGATTGCAGTGAGCTGAGATTGCGCCATTGCACTCCAGCCTGGGCAACAGAGTGAGACTCAGTCTCAAAAAAAAAAAAAAAAAGAAATGTATTCTTCATATTGTTAAAGAATATCCTTCTGCTTTTGTTTAGTAATAGTTTTATACTTCATGAGTACTGAGTGTTGGATTTTACTGAAAACTGTTTCAGCATTTATCAAGATAGTTTTTTTGATCTTTTGATATGTTATATTAATATGTATTATTTGGACAGTCTTTTAATGTACTGTTGCATTCCATTAGCTAGTATTAAATACTATATTCAGGAGTTTTACCTCTAAATTAATAATTGAGGGTGGGTGCAGTGGCTCATGCCTGTAATCCCAGCACTTGGGGAGGCCAAGGTGGGTGGATCACCTGAGGTCAGGAGTTCGAGACCAGCCTGGCCAACATGGTGAAACCCCATCTGTACTAAAAATACAAAAAAGTAGCCAGGCATGGTGGTGTGTGCCCATCCTTCTGCACACAATCCTCTTAAGGCCCTCTTCCCTTGGCTTTGGAGGGTCTAGGCTCCCTGGTTGCCCTCCCCATCTTTGGTTGCTCCTCTTTCCTGGTTCTTCTCTACCTGACCTGCATATGTCCAGATTCTTACACTAGGCTGCCTTCTCTTCTCAGTGTAGACAAATTTCCTGGACCTTCTCTTCTCCTCCATGGCTTCAGTACTCTGTATGTGTCCAACTGCCTCCTGAGAGGTTATTCCAATTCATCAAAGGCTTCTCTGCCCGAATTGAATGCATACTCCTGCTTGTTATCTAATCTTTCCTATCTCAGGTAATGACATACCACCATCCACCATGATACTAGCTGATCATGTTGGATACTTGGCATGCCCCTTTTCCTGTGCAATCAATTACTGAATCCTTCGTAATCTACAAGCTAACCATTGCTTTAAACTGCCTTCTTGGCTACCGTCATCTTTTGCTGATGGCTCTCATCACCTTTCTCTTTATGTTTTTCTCTACCATAACCTTTTCTCTTTATGGCTCTCAAGTTCTATTCCTACAGTGTAATCAGATTTTTTTAAAAAAATGTAGTTGTCTACATGTAGCAGGGTTACATTTTTTACAATGTACAACAATTCAGATATACAAAATAATATACTTAAACTAGATTTAATTTCTCTCAGTGCTCATTTCTACTTTCTAGCATTAAATTATTTTTAACAAATTCTAGCTAAATTCTAAATTCTTAATGTCTTCTGAGTAGATTTAGTCATTTTAGGTTAGGGTCAGAAACCTAAACTGACTAAACTTACTCAGAAGACACTAAAAATATTGAAGGCTTACATTCAGCCTTCCCTATTCTTCTCTATCCCCAAATGTAAGTTGGGGATTGGGGTAGGGGACTTTGGCAGCTTTATGGCATTAGTGGGGAGGGACCATCTGTTTTGCAGCCACTCTTGGCTGGTCACTGGCATCTGCTGCATAACTTGCCCTGTCTGATCTCTGGTCACTGGACTGCTTCTCCCACTGTCCTCCTTATTCTTGGGTTCTGGGTTGTTAGCTCCACACCAATACGCCTGTGTCATTAGGCTACATCATGCCCTCTCTCAGGCACTTTCTCTGCTACTCTGTAAGACATGGGACAATTCAGATGTTTGCCAATTTAACCTTAAACAAGTATAGTAGAATATGCAACTTCTCCACAAGTTCAGAGAACAAAAAAAGATTCTCCCTCTAAACCTGAAGCATTAAAGAAATATTTCTGAGTTACAATTCCTATCCATGTAAGCTAAGAATTGATTTCTATATTCTTCTTAAGACCACAAAAAAATGGAAGATTCAAGAATAAGGTGAACTCGGCCAGGCACAGTGACCTATGCCTGTAATCTCAGCACTTAGGGAGGCTGAGGTGGGTGGATTACCTGAGGTCAGAGTTTGAAACCAGCCTGCCCAACATGGTGAAACCCCGTCTCTACTAAAAATACAGAACAATTAGCTGGGCGTGGTGGCACATGCCTGTAGTCCCAGCTACTCTGGATGCTGAGAAAGGAGAATTGCTTGGATCCGGGAGGTGGAGGTTGCAGTGAGCTAAGATCACCAGACTGGGTGACAGAGTGAGACTCCGTCTCAGTGGAAAAAAAAAAAAAAAAAGAATAAGGTGAACGAATTTGACTTTCTCATAAAATTCTGCTGCTTTTCAGGCTTGTTAAAGTCCCTGAGATGTTCATAAGTGAAAATCTTGGTGGCGACTTCTACTCCCTCCCAGGTCTCTGCCTCCCATTTGCACCTCTCTCTTCTGGCTGGCAGCGGCCTGGGGTGAGCTGCCTCGCTTCCTCGCTTCCCCACACCACCTGCTCCTCTCCGCCCCACACTCACCAGTGTTGCCACTTCTGTGACCATGAAGGAACATGAAGCTCCTGCCTTTCCTCAGCTCCCACCCTGCCAGCATCCCCCCTGGGCACAGGCCACTGCAGGAGCCAAAGGAATGGGCCTCTGGGCTCCAACTTGCTTGTCTATCTTCCTCACAGCAGAGGCTCTCAGCCAGGGACGGAGAGCAGGAGAGCAGCAGGAATGAAGAGCACCAAAGAGCCAATTGCGGTCAGCTTCACCACAATTCTTGACTTGAAAACAATGCGGCAGAATAATTTATGAAAACATTAAGATATTACCCCTTCCTCTCATATCAGGCAAATAGCCAAGTGCATCTTTGTATTTTCCTGCCTCAGAGATTTTTGCAGGGAAGAAATTCGCAGTTGCATGAGGTCAGTGGCTCCTCCTGTCTTTGGTAAGAGCCAAACTCATGGCAGAGATGACGCCAGGAAGCCCTGAGCAGGCGGTGAGATTGTGGAGGGCTTCCAAGAAAGCAAGGGAAAATAAATGCAGATTCTTTTAGGCAGAGGTCAGCAGGGATCAAAGTTGTGGGACTCCTGAATCTTATAGTGACAGCTCCTGCGGGAGGTGGTAAGACTGCAGAAAGAATGGATACCTGGTGTGGGCATGGATAACATGAGGCTCCAGACTCCCATGGTTTAGGTGCCACCTGCAGGGTGTGGGAGCAGCCAGATGTCCCAACTTAAAGGGCTCGTGGAGGCCAGCTGGAGCCATGAGTGTCCCAACAGTAACTTCAAGGGCAAATGATCAGAGACTACAAGCTGGACCTGATCTTTTGGTGGTATGCAAGGCCCGAAAACCTTTGCACAGCTGTGGGGAGAGGGAGGTCAGAAAATTATGGAGACTGAATTCCCCACTGGTTTATTATAATAGGTTGATTAGAAAAAAGTTCAATATTTCTTGTATAATGGGATCTTGCACCTTCCACACTCTATATTCAAGGCTGCAGAAGTTGACAAAGGAAATAGAAATACTCCTATTTCTATTTTTGCTCTCTCTCATCAAATTTCCCCTGTCAGCCCCCTCTCTGTACCACCCCTTTTTATTCCTTTCTGGTGTCATTAGCCAAGTTCTAGTTAAAATGAAAAAAAGGAAAACATAAAAAATGGAGGGAAATGAAGTCAGAGAAGGTAGAAAGTGGACAGAACATGCTTAAAAAAGTGAATCTCCATATAAGAAATGAAATAAAGGTTTTCCCCAGACAGAATACAGGCTCCTCAAATCTGCCATAGAATAAAGGTGGGAAACTAATAAACAAAGTATCTGGCATTTCCTTCCCCTTCAGGAAGCTCCAACTCTACTGATTTTTACCTGAGAGGCACTGCTGAGGAGAAACTCGTCTGTTAATTGGCTCACGGTGCGAGACACCCAGATAAAGTGGCTTCAGTTGCTGTGACAAAATCATTTCATTCAATTTTTTCTGTAGAATGAAATATTCTTCAGATAACTTTGATATCTAAAAAGAAGGTCATGTGTCAGATTAAATCAAAGAAAATAATACAGAGATTTCTGCAGGCACCAAGGGCTGAGAAACGCCTTACCAGCATTCTTGGGGACTCTCATGTTACTCTCCAGGGCCCACCTTGTCCTTTGTACCAGGGTCTGATAAAGTCCTCACCTGACAACCTTCTCCCTTGTGCTATGAATACTTGCCATCTCACATTTTTCATTAAAAACTGCCAAGCATGTCAGGCTACAAGCAGAATTCCATTCTGATCAACTCCTTCCCAGGTTTCTGAGATCTGGCTTCCAGCCTTGCCACTCTGTTGTATTTGCCTTTCTGCTTCTGTCCCAGGGACTCCTCTGCTGCCTTTGCTTGTGTAAACCTCCTTCCTTTTATTTCCAGTCTTTTTAGCCTGACTTCAGGGCTGCTCTATTCTGGGTTCTTTTTCCATCCTGCCCCAGGCCTCTGTCCTGTCTGCATCCTGGCTCTGATAACACGGTTGTCCTGCTGGGTTGAGTATGAGGCTCCTGCTGGGACAGCCTCTAGCTTTGCTCCATCGAGCAGTGAATTTATTCCCATGGTGATACTGGCCAGCTCCAAGTGGATGCCTTGGTAATTCTACATCTCAGCGTCTCCATGGCATAGTAGATCTGAGTTCTAATCCCTGATTTGGTCTTTGCAGTGAGAAGAATCATATGTTTATTAAGTAAACTATTTCCATATACTTAAAAAAATAGTAGGAAGGGGATGGGTAAATTAAAAAACAGCAGATCTTGGCTGGGCACGGTGGCTCACGCCTGTAATCCCAGCACTTTGGGAGGCCAAGGCGGGTGGATCACCTGAGGTCAGCAGTTCGAGACCAGCCTGACCAACATGGAGAAACCTCATCTCTACTAAAAACACAAAAAACAGCTGGGTGTGTTAGTGGGCACCTGTAATCGCAGCTACTAGGGAGGCTGAGGCAGGACCTGGAACCCGAGAGGCGGAGGTTGTGGTGAACAAAGATCACACCATTGCCCTCCAGCCTGGGCAACAAGAGCGAAACTCTGTCTCAATAAAATAAACAAAGGCAGATATCTACTGACAGCTAGAAGTTGGAGATGTCTGGGCCATACCTCTAGCACTAAGGAAGGGTCCAAGCACAGTTACCATGTTTCTCATAGGCTCAGCCTCCATCAGATACAAAAAGTGGAGTTTAGGGACGCAGGAATATTAGATGGTCCTTCTTGGAACTAACCCATTATGGTATTTCTTTTATTACTTCATACACCCTTGATTACCCTGGAAATTCATGTATTTTAGAGGTCATCTAGTTAAAACTCTTCGTTCTGCACAGAAGAAAATAACAGTGCTAAGACATAAAGTGAGTTTTTGAAGGTCAAATGCCTAGAAAGAGAAAGGAGGAACTAGAATTGGTATTTACAGAAGCTGGTTCCTGCGATCTTTCCATAGCACTAATTTATCAGAGACAAACTGTATGTTTCAGAGATAAATTGCATGTAAACACATGAAAAGCCCTAAAACCTATTGTTTCCTATGCTCCTCTCTAGAAACAGCTGAAACATACCTATGACTGGCATGAGATATTCTCTAGAAGGGAACTTTTCTCTGTGTTTTTCCTTTATGATTCCTTAATTTCCATGACTATTCGTTTACTGTCATGATGTGACATGCAGACTTTCATCTTCACTGTATATGCCTCAGTGTGGCTACCTATCAAAATCTGATACCTAATTATGTTTTCTCAAATTTGTGAGAGGGAGAAAGCATAAACTTTAGAGGATTTAGAAAACTTAAAATGACTTTTTTTTTTTTAGCTCTAATTAAAGATCTCATAGATACATCAAACTTTTCACTGTCGAGACTTGGCATTCTAATAAGCTTTATAGACCAATCTCTAGCATCATGACTACATGAGGTTTCTATCATATTTTATACTATTGTTACCACAGTAAATTGGGTTAAAGGTTCCTGGCTATTTGAATAGCACAGTCTTTGAGACATTTTATTAAAAACATTTGCAGGCCCACATCAACACAGGTGAAACAATCTATCAGTTATTAATTATGCATTTATTTCAGTTATTGTATCATTCACAGGGACTTTCATTAGTAAATAAATTCATTTATTCACATACCTGTTTTGAAAAAATTGCCAAATCACATGCTTCTTTCTCTGAAGTCGCTTTCAAGTCTTTATCATCCTTTATCTTGATATCATAGGTTTCCTCATGTTTTGTGGGATAGGAATACAAATTATGAGTGTTTCTTGCTACTTCTGTTTGTGCTGTGACAATCCTCTGATGCTTAAAAGAATACATCTTATCCTTCCTCAACTGCTGCCTTCTCTTGTAACCCCGGTATTTGCTCTGAATGAACACCGCTGCTTTGTCTTCTTCCTCCTGGGCCTGTGTCACTGGCTGAAATTGCCTCTCTTTGACTGTCTCATGCCTCAGATGGCCTCCCTCCTGGCCGCATGTCGGTGCACTCTGGGTAACTACAGATGTCGTCTTTTCTTTTTCCTTCACATTTGCATTTTGATAAATTGACTTTTGGCTAAGTGTAGGTTCCAAAGTTCTTTTAAAGGAAGTCTCATTCTCTGCTAACCAAGGCCCTGAGTAGCTTGGCCTTTCTGATATGGCCTTCCTTTCTAGATACGCTGCTTTTGACTCTTCACAATTCCTCTCCTCTGTGTAGTTCTGACAGTTACTCTGGATCATAGCCTCCTCTTTCTCCACTTTCCTTAGCTTGCTGTTCTCGTCCAGGTCTTTGACAGACTTCTGTTTGGGGCTTACTTCTGGCCCTACAAGGTACAATTCTTGCTTAACCTCTTCCTTATATGCATTATTCACTTTTTTTGGAGTCTGATACCCTCTGTCGTTACTCTCCACAGCACTGGTGGTTTCCTCTTCAGGTCTGAAAGTGGAAGCCTTTACTACCGATACACTTCCTTTATTATTTGGAGCTGAAATGAATCTTTCATTAGCAGAGATTGCATTTTCTGTTTGTTTCTTCACATAAGATTCCCTGTGTAAAATATATTATCTTTGAATATACAATACTAAATTTGAGCTTATTACTTCTTTTGGCAATAGCTATATGCTAGGAACAAAGAAAGCTCAAAATTCAAATGTCTCAAGTCACATTAATCAAGTTCCTTCCAGAATGTTCTTTCTGATGACAATTGTGATAACTACTCAAATAATGAGAAAATCAGATTCAACAGAGTGAGATATATCCTAGCATATGAAGAACCACCTTTTCATTTAATGAGATATCAAAATTCTAGGAATTTAATCCCTTCAAAATACATTCTTTCAAAATAAAGTACCTTTAGTGGTGAGACGTTGTGAAAAATATACCTAGGTTTGAGACCAGTAAGCAGGGTATGTTCACTGGCTGACATACTGTACTTTAATAAGCACTAAGTTTACTGCTGACAGGAAATATCTTACAAAATTAAAGGAGAAGAATGTCCTCGCTGCAGTTTATGATCACATAATATGGTGGCCAAAATTTCACAGTTGCTACTTTGCTAATATCCTTCCAAAATGATTTCCCCTTCACTTGAAGATAAGGCTTCTCTGTATCTTTTTTGATTTTTTTTTCCAGCTAAGGGCAAAACCCTCACAAGAGCAATATTGCCAAGAAAAAGTTAAGGTGGAATAAAAATGTTTTACCATGATACCTTGATATGCTAACACCTCTCATTGCTACTTGAAGGCCTTTTGCACCAAACTTTTCATCTTAGCCCAGAAATCCATGTGAGAGTTTAGGTCTTTTGTGATCTGTTTGTGAAGTCGGACTCTTCATTGAGTCAAATCTGGAAAAAGCTATTCGGATGCCATTTTTCTAATTCTATTGGCCACTTCCTGGGACTAGAATTACTATGGTATCCCCAGGCTTATACCGGAGGCATAGCAGAATCCTGCCAGGATCAGTCAAGAAGCTAGGTAGGGCACCAGAAATGCCCATGATTTTGATGAATCTCTATACTAGTATTTTGAATTCCTCCATAATACCACCCTCTCCAAGAATGCTTGCATTTGTTCAAAATACAACTAATGAGAGAAGATGCGTGTAGAGTCCCTAACTGACTACATTCCAAAAAATCAATTTATAAGTTAATTTTGATCTTTTAAGTGTATTTACTGGTGAAAACTTATACACATTGCTAAAATTCCCACATTGGTTATACATCTGGGCTCAGGTGACTCCACCCCATGCTGTGGCTGGCACAACACTTGGAGGACCTAAGGATCATGTGCGATGATGGGTGCTTCTGAGGGTCAGCCCTTCAGAGCTTCAGCATGGGGAGGACTGGGGACCTTTTCTGACATCTGCTGGAGAGCCCTGCAGGCCTGGGCCTTTTTCCAGCTCCCTGCTGTGGAATTCTAGGTCACAGGTCAGGGGCTCTGTCAGGGAAGAGTTAAATGAAAACAAGGGATTCAGGTACCTGAGGGAAAAGGAAAGACAGAAGTGGGCTAGGTAGAGAGTGCTGGCCGGCAGATCTCTGTGTGTCAGGCCCACTTGCCTCTCTCTTCCCTAACCTTCCTTTCTCCAAGCTTCCCTTGACTTTCTGCCTGTACTTCTTTTATGTCTGATTTTATGATCCACCTCCTATGAGAGTTAGCCCAATAAATGTCAAATTCTCCATCCCCAGACCACAGAGATAACTTCTTACAATCATGTGCCCTGAAGTGGATCTTGTGTGCAGTAGATGCTTAGTAAATATCTGCTACATTGAAAGCTAATCCCTGGTACCCTCAGAAGAAAGGTGGTAGCAAATTGAACATCAGACTTTCTTATTAGATGTGATATCTACAAGTAGCAATTTCTAAAAGTAGTAAAATTAGTCCACCTTTCTTCTGTTTGCATCCAGTTTATATTTCTCTCAGCCTCCAGACTGAAGTATAGGAGTCACAGGTATCATCAAGCCTCCTGCTCCTGAGGCAGGCCTGCGATCTTTGGAAGTTTGCTTGACTGCTTTTTAGCCAGTAACAAAGAGAAACAAATCATTTGAATCCCCTCAGGCAAAGACCAAGCGCGCATATATTATATAGGTCTTAGAATACACAAAAACTTAAAACACCAAATGTCTTTATACTTCAGATAAACATTCCCGTTTTTCAAATAAGGAAATGAGGTTGGCCTGAGGGATTCAGGGAGGTGAGGTGAAGGTGAGGGGAAAAGGTAGCAGAGAAGCCATCTATGAGATCTATGAGACCACTATTGGCAGGAGAGAATAATAGCGGTGGGTGAAGAGAACATTAGATGTGGATGTGTGGGGAGAGAAGGAAGCCAGGAAGCCACCTCTTCTGTTTCATTCCTTCACCCTGTCTGGCCAGTTTTGATGTTAAAGACAAGGGGATTGGGGTTGGGGTTGGAATGATCTTTATCTGGATGACCATGTGCTCAGCTTGATCAATTCAAGTTTCACCAACTGGGCAAAATGTAAATACTTTTCCCTTTCCCTAACCACTACCAACCAAGGCAGGGTTCCCTTTTCCTTGCCCCCAGTTGTACTCTTTGTATATTTTTATAGCAGAGTTAAAACATTTTACAAGAGTAATGTGTTTGTCGATCATGTTTTTTTCCATAATACTGTAAGAAATTTGATAAGGATTTTGCCTCATGTATCTATGTGTCCCCACTGCCCAGCATATAGTCTGCTGAATAAATGAATAAGTGGTTTTCTAATATGCACTTGGAAGTATAGAGATGAAGCCTCAGAAGAAGGAAGGGCAGCTGGTGATTATGACATAGGGGTCAATGGCATATTGGCTATTAAAACCATTGGAATGAATGAGAGGGCCCAGTGACATATTTAGATGTGGATAAGGATTTAAGTGTGGGGAGAGGAGGACGTATTAGAGAAGGACACTCAGAATTAGGAGCAGAATTATAGAAAGCAATCTGGTAGAAGCCAAGGAAGAAAAATTTTGAGAAATAACTCCCAAATAGGTTAGAGAACACAAAAGTAGCAATTGGGTGTTCACTGACATTTGATGTGTCAGTATCAGGAACCTGACTAGTACAACTGTGAACATTATTCTATGGCCTTACAGATCTGAAAAATCTGTATGTTACAATGGTATAAGAATGAACATCATTATACCTTGTATTTTCAAAGTTTTTCTTGTAGTCAAACTCCTCATTGGAAGTCTGAATGGCTGTTACTGCTGTGTTTTTCATATTAACAATTTCTTTTCTTTGTTTCCTGACAAGGTGTCCTCTTGCAGCTGAAACACACAAAGACCATAGCAGTGTTAATCATAAGAAATAAAATTACTTTAATGAGTAAAAACGGTGGTTTTGACCATTGATATCAAAGAGGAAAATAAAATTAAAATGCCAAATAGAACAGGTTCACTTAAAAATGCAATTCATTAAGAAGATTCTTCTAGATGGCAAGCTATAACAATAATAAAGTATCTTTTATACTAAGAAGAGTATTAAAATGAAACCAAAATGATAGAGGTGAGCAAAGTTGATTGACAAAGTGTGCTCATTTGCTTAAAATTTAGTGATAATTAGTTTCCTTTTTTTTTTTTTTTGCCATGTGTTTTATATATTTTGGCCAGATATATTTCAGATTATTGGAATATATATTTCAGAATTCAGATTAATTTTTTTAAGTTTTAGAAAGTTAGTTCAGAGCAAATATATATTCTGTAACATTCTCTATGTCAGGACAGCACCCAACATGAATAGTTCTTTTGAAAAACAGAATATTTTTACTTAGTTGGATGAGTAAAGGACTGTAAATAACCTCACATCATATTGGTACATGTTTCACTGCCAAATGTGCTATAAAGAACCTGTTTATTAGAGCTTTATAAATTTTGAAACTGTAGATAAAGAATTAGAGTCCAAAGTACTGAGTTTGCATTTTGATTTCTCAGTGAGAAGCTAAGAGCTTAAAATACAAAAAGAGATGATGATGACTCATTGCTGATTGACAGAACGGGGATTGGAATGTTAATCTCTTGAATGTCAGTCAGCTACTCTGCCCACAATATTAGAGTTCTTCAGAATGCACGCTGCAAACCATCATGTGGATCATAAAATTGATGATGTGGGCCAAATCTAGTATCTAAAAATCAAATGGAATAAACTAGAATTAAAAATATCAGAATGCGGTGCTTGTAGTGTGTGTGTGTCAGGTTAAATAGCAAAATACATTTTTTTACTCTAAGTGTCCAGTCAAAAAATTCTGAAAGAGAGCATACTAAGCTGTGATAGGCTCTATCTAAATTTTGCTTCTTATGGAAAAATAGAAAGCAAAATCCAAAGTCTGTTAATACAGTCCAATAAATGTTTGTGAAGTAAAGTATGGTTATAAATTTATTTCCCTACAGTTAATAGAAATAAATGGATGCCCTTTAACAAAAAAAGATTTAAGTTGTCAAAAGTTATGGCAAGTGTAACCTTTGGAATAAAGTAGAAAAAATCTTATTGTCCAATGAATAATAATAATACGATTCTTGAGATCTGTAATTAATCATTTGCTATATCTTACACAATATGTCAATTGTGTTTCATTAATTCTTGACAGAAAAATTAAAAATTAAATTATTGAAGACAAAACATTTATTCAAATATTAAAAGTGTCAATTACTAAAACAATTTGACTTGGATTTAATATAGTGAAAGTATCAAGGCAACACAGTCTGGAATTAAACACAAAAGCTACATAAGAATTGGAGGTTTGCCTGTAAGAAATATCATAATACTGGATTTTTTGACCATATCTAAATGCAACACAATGCTTTGTTACACTCTAAGACAGTCCAAGAGATTACCTGACTGTATTATTATAGCGCTTTCTTTCCTTTTCTCCTGTATTTTTTGGTATCTTCTTGAACATAAGAATGCTCTGACACAAGCTTGAATCAAAATAAGCTTGTCAATAGCTTCCTTTCGCATTAGATTTAACTCTTCCACATGATAATATTTAAGGAACACCTGAAAAATTAAAATAAAATACAAAGAGCTATGGTACCCAGATGTGAAGCAGTTGTGTGCTATGCTTTGAAGAACAGAACACATTCTAAATTGCTTGAGATTTTGGAAATCACTGTCTTTTGCTTCTTTGCCATAGATGACATTATGACAGCACAGATTTTTATGCCTGAAGAAAACATTTCTTTGAGAAGAAACGCAGAAGGGAACAACCATACTGTTTATTTACAACAGGTAACTAGGTTTTGTTGGATGAGACAGTAAGAGTGGAGGATGTTGAACTCTTTTAGCAAAGTTTCTAGCATCGTATATTCTGGGCTAAGCTAATTTTTATGCTTTTTATTTTTTTAAAGGCGATTATGTTTCCCAAATTAAAAACGCCTTAACAAATCTAAGTATAGAGGACAGAACTATAGTTCTATTAGTTCATTCATCTAATGTTTATTGAGACCCGTTACAAGTATACATCTGCTGGGGATACAGAGATGAACAAGGCAGGGTCGCTGTCCTTTGGGGCTGGTGGTGTTGTCAGTGGAGAGAGTAAGGCAGAGAGAGAGCGCCAGGCAGATTTAATTAACAATGTTCTCACTGGACCCAAAGTCTGCCATGGAGAAAGGAGGGCTGACTTCTGATTATTCTAAAATCAACATCAGTTGGAGCAAGGGAGGAGCCTGACGGCTTGGTGTGTTCTCATCTAACATATCTCAGCTCTGTTCTCCCCTCCCCCAAGGAAATGAAAAGCTTGTTTCTTCATTTTTCTTTTAATGGCTAAATTTCCTAATAAAAGTCATCTCAAAGAGTTTATTGAATCCATCAAGAAAGTCACTTAAATTCAAATTTTATGGCTGAGTCATGAGACCTGATAACCCTGACTGTAGAATTCTCTTAGCGTTCCATTACTTAAAAGCTTGGCACCGTGGGCAAACACGTTAGTGTTGCAGGTTTGATTTAATTCAGTTTAATTTCTACAGGACTCTAGATGTTAATATATTTAATCCATTCTGCTGTTGACAATTCATTTAAAATTCAATCTGTTTAAAAAGGTCATCATTTCTTTTTGCATAGCATTAGAAATGTTCTATATTAATACTTTCTATCCATGTTAATGAGTTGGAAAAGGTGAAGTGGAAAAATACAAATAGCTTTAAAATGCTACCTAAATATCATGCAGAACTATAACTGCAAAAGGCCTTTTTACAAGTTAAAACTCCATTTGAAGTTAGGCATGTGTTTCAGATCATAAATCATGAGGTTTTAGCCTGATAAAATTCATCTTTTTGAAATTTATCACCTAAGAGAAAACGGTATGAATAAAATACTCATTTTTAATGCCCCAAATATCCCCTTACTAAACATCAAAGTAAATATGGATTACTGAATACATAGGACACTCAGTTCAAGGTAGATTAAAAAAAATCTCTTAAATTCTTACTGGGCTAATTTCTCATCTGAACATTATTAAAATTCTCTCCCACACCTCCTATACCCGAGACACAAATATTATAAATTTCTTTGCAAATGTGGAAGTTTGTTTGGGTTTACTTCTGTGGTGTGGCTGATAGTAGGTATTCTTGAACAGTCAATCTATGAGTATCTCTCGGCTTTAGATTGGCTCTTTTACCCATCCTCCCTCAGTGAAACATTTCATACCCACTTAAGATACATTCAGTGCACAATGGAACCCTGTTTATTTCCTGATCCCTATCCGGTAATGCTATGAGGATACCTGAGAAGACCAATGCATCCTTTCTCCAAACAGCGACCTGTCTTTCTTCCATATTCAAGATTGGTTATATTTTTTATTTTATTCTCTAAGGGATTAAATAAGCTAAGATTTCATAGGTTCTAAAAGCTAATATATAAACACATCATTGTCCAATACACATAGCAAGTCTAGTAATAATGGTGAATATTTTACTCCAGATAAATTTCAAGCTTATGATAGAAGCAGATCTGAGAATTAGGAAAAAAAAAAAAAAAAAAAAGGAAAACACAAATCTTATTTAGATCATTATGATTCTCTATAGATTTTTAACTATATGTAGTAGTGATAAACTAGAGAATATATATGTCTGTTTTCAATAGCATCTGAAATAAAGTACACTCATGTTTTATCCTTTTTTGATAAATATTCTAGGTAAATTTTTCTTGCATTTTTTTTTTTTTTTTTAATTTAAATGTAAACTTTTCTTTAGCGTCAGGTCTTAAGTTGCATAGGCTGGAGTGCAGTGGTGTCATCGGAGCTCACTGCAGCCTTGAACTCCTGCGCTCAAGCCATCCTCCCACTTCAGCCTTCTAAAGTGTTGGGATTACAGGTATGAGCTACCGTGCCCAGGCTTTTGTATTTCTTAAAAGAAACCTTTATGAAGAGCAAAAGTCTTTAATGTTGATGAAGAAGAAAATCCTTATGAGCTTATAAATTTACTTCACCTATTGTAAGCTACAGATTCTGTAACATAAAAAACCATACTTTCAAACATTGTAAAATGTTATAATTCTCACTGAATCCAGCATAATTATTATTTTACTGAAAATAACATGAAAACATTACTTTTGTTTTTCCAAGAGCCCAGTTATCAAGACCAGCATTTTCCAAAATTGTGGCACAGGTGTCAGGGCTCACGGGGGGCTCCTCGCTTGACTTGTAGCACAGAACATAGTACCTTGGAATGGAAAAAGGGGCTGGTTAGTATTGTATAAAGCTCCAAGGGGCTGGTTAGTATGGTATAAACCTCCAACATCTCTGTAGCCTGGTGGTTCCCGAATAACTTAGTGCAGGGGTGAGGAAGGGATGCCCAGAGGTGATGCAGAGAGGATTTTCAGGCACCCTCAGAACAACTTTGGAGTAGACCAAATTCCAAACTGATGCAAACCAGCCCAGTTTGGGCTCACTTTTTTCACTTTTGTTATCACCTTTCAAAACTTGATACTGAAATCCCCCTACAAGAACTCCATCACTCAAAAAAAAAAATAGCAGTTTTGATTTTGTTTTTTAGCTACAATTATCTGGAAACTAAAAGGTGTAGGACTGCAGTGGCAGGAAGCAGAAGAAATTATTTTTCACATTCCAATGTTAACAAAACTCTGGAAGCTGATCTTCAAATTGGGTGATGGAGCTTAATTCCACTGAAACTTTCCATCACTGTATATATGCCTTCCATCTTTGTTTTTCCTTGAGGGACACTATGTCTTCTGCTACAGTTTTTCTCTATTGGTTTAATCTATCCATAATTGAGGGAAAGAAAGAGGAAGGGCTAACGCAGGAAAGAACTGAAAGCAGGTCCCCAGGCTAAACCACAAGGCCTACTGGGGAAGGAGATTAATTAAACAAAGAAAATCCAATTTACACCAATCAATAATCTTGTGCAAAAAGACAGATTTCTAGAATTTTTAATACTCTTCTATTTTTAATTTATTAGTACAAGATTAGCCTGAAAGTCCAGTGCAAAGAAAGCAGCAAATTTTGGATTTCAAAAGACAGGCCCCAATATGTAGACAGCTGAGGTGGCACGGTGACATGAAGGGCAGAGTTCCACCCTTGACTCATTACCTGTATAAACTTGGACATATTACAATTAAGTATCACTTTCCTCATTTAAAAATGAGTCCAGAAATAAAACCTCTAAAATGAACGTATTTCAACTTCACTAATTTCAACTTCATTAAACCTGCAATGAAGTAGCTTCTGTTAGGCTCTTTGGAGAAGAACCTTGGTCTAGAATGGTCTAGAATGAAATGATCATAACTTTTGCTGTTTGTGCAAATAACCCCAGGGAGTGCCTATTAGCCACTAGGCCTGATCACTAACTCACACATGTATGTGTGGTGACCCAGTAGTGACTCCACATTCACAGCCTGTCCATCAACTCCTGTTTTTACTTCCTTCCAGAACCAGCCAGGGTCTCACAGTTCATTGCAGGAGCCACCCTTAGGCAGCCTCGCACCTTTCCCACTCCCATTTCTTTGTTGTGCACTCTCTGCAAACATGCATGCCTGGACCTGCCAATCATCTGCATCTCTGTCCTCCTGCCGGGCTTCAGAACACAGCCAAAGAAAATCTTCACAGCTGGCTTCCTCTAAATGTGTGGATTCCTGACTCAGTCAGGCTCACAAGAAAGCTCTGGATCCTGGCCACTTTCCTCTCTTCTTTCTCACAACAGCAACTTAATCTGTTCTGCTTTCTCCAAGTCTCCCAGCTGCGCCTGCCCTGCCTACCTCTCTCAGCAGACAAGCTTCCCTACTATACCACTAGAAGCCACCAGACTCACAATTCATAGGCTTCATCCCCAAATACAATTTCATTTGTCCACTATCAATTTTCCCTCCTCCTTCAAAGGAGATTTTCATCCTCTGTTTGCCTATGTTCTAGAGGCCATCTCCTCCTCTTCTTCTGTATATTTTCAATCTCATTTCTCTCTTCTAGCTTCCTCCATTTACAAAATGGATATTTGTTTGTTGTTACAAAGCAAACACCTTAAGCCTTGCTCATCTGTAGTGACTCCACATTCACAGCCTGTCCATCAACTCCTGTTTTCACTTCCTTCCAGAACCAGCCAGGATCTCATGATTCTGCTTCTCCCACTAACTTTGCAGATAAGTTGAAAGACTGTTTAAAATAACCGTCTCCACTTCCCATCACTCTTCAGCTCCTAGAATCTCATTTAATCACACAGCAACAAGGACTCTTATTTACGCATATAGGATCCAGGAGTGGTGAAATCTAACAGGTCCTTTTCCATCCTAATTCTAAGTGTTCTTTCTGTAGCACTTGTCGTTGTTGGCTGCTCTCTCTGTCTTGCTGTCTCCCAGGCTTTCACTTAATGTCCCATGCCTCTCCCCGTCCCTTTCAGTCTCCCTGTGTGCCCCATAGTTAAGGATTTAATGACTTGTTGCTTAAATGCTGGTGTTCTACAATGTTCCATTTTTTTCTAAGCCTCTGTCGGCATGCTTGGCTCCAGCTATTCCTGTATGTGGTGATTCCTAAATCTACACCATCAGCCCTAACTGTTGATATCAACAAGCCTAAACACATGCGTTTAGGGTTGATATCAACAGTTACGGCTGATGGTGTAGATTTAGGAATCACCACATACAGGAATATATGTACCTGCTCTACATTCCCATCTGGTTATTGCACAGAGACTTTAAACTCAGCGACATTCATCAGTTTGTCCTTTCTCTGCCATTTCCTGTCTCTGTGAATGATATCACCACTTTTTAACAGGCATTTGAGCTAGAAATCTGTGTGCCAGCCTACTCTTCCCTATTCTTCACTCTATGGATCTAACAAGTCTCTCTGAAATCCATTTCTTTCTCGAGATGCCTACTGCCATACCTCAATTAATTATCTCCTCCCTTCTCACCTAGACTTCTGCAATTGCCTCCCAACTAGTTACCTCTACTGTCACTCCCCCGCCCTGCCCCAGCCATTGTCCACAGCTCTGTCTGAATTATTTTTTTTTTAATGAAAATCTGATCATGTCATTTCCTGACTCAAAAAGTCTCTATGGATGTCCCAAGTTCTAAGCTAGAATGGTAAAATCAGGTGCTTTCAAAGTCTATGCAGATACCATAAATATGCAAGCCTGGGAGCAGTGGGAATGTAGGAGATGGAAAGGTTACACCTGCCAAAAAGCATTTGCTTTAAATTGTTTGCCACATGTGATTACTAGCATGCAAGCTCCCTTCTGTCCTATATCCCTGCCTGCCTTTCTAGCCTCCTCTTTGCTATTTTCCATGGCATTCCAAGTTCTAGTCATGAAAGTTACTTAAAATTGTGCTGGTGGGCCATGTTTGCTCATGCTTCTATGCTTTCGTATGTGTTACTATGCTTGCGCACCTTTTTATCCCACTCCTAGTTTCCTTAAGGAAGGCCTACTTTTTCAATATTCTAAAAACTCTCTTCGATGTATCTTCAATGAACAGACTAACTGGATTAACTGAAATTCTCTTTTCTTGTGTGAAACACACCGACTGAGGTCGGCTGGCAGTTCTCGCTAGTGTGCCCATGCATGTGTGTTTGTTCTCACTGGATGAGCTGTGTTTGCTCCAAACCTGTTTATGCCAGTTGTATTTGGTGTGACACAATTCAAATAAGTATCAGGTTGAAATCTAAGTGAGGAAAGCCCGAGGATTGTTTCTACAAACTGCATCAAATGCTTTGATAAGACCTTGTAAAAAACCATGAAATTAAACATGGATGAAGCAATTACAAAGCATTGAGGAAAATCATAAGAATCAAGAAATATTCAGCCCTGTGATTGTTTCACAAGTATCTTTAATATCTTGCTTCACTCCAAGAAATGTTAACTGGAAATCATAAATAAGAGATTACGCATAGTTTATGTAAAAAAGCCAATAAACTATGGTTAATAGATGTGTAATCAAAGAAAAAATTAAGTCTTTATCAAAAGACTAAAAAACAAACTTATGTTGATGTTGTAAGTTAAAATATTTATGGTGTGTTTTTATGTATTACTTTTATTGCTCTCTGCTTTATCAGAATTTCTACTACAATGTAAACCATCCTTCCATTATGCTCTCAGAGTATCTTGTTCATATTTTCATTAAAATACCTGGTCTTCTTTCATTAATTTGAAAAATATTTGAGCACCTACTATTTATTTGCCAGGCACCATCCTGGTGCTTCAGACACAGTAGTAAACACAGGATACCTACACTCTTTCTGCCTGCAGCTGACTTTATTACACTGTATGATAAAGCAGATTTTTACAGCTCTGGTCTGTGAGTTTCTTAATGTCAGGGGCTCTTCCAATAATTTGGATCCTTCATCTTTCAATTAAGATTTGAACTTGTCTTTAGTTCAAGGACTGGAACACATTTTGTCTCTCAAATAAATGTTTGCCGAATATATAATGTACTATTGCTGGGACTTGTGGAAATAAACACTTAGGTAAACCAGATGTGCTTATGGAGAGCATCCCTGAGGCCACTGTAAGTCAGAGGTAATTTTGGGAGCTTGAGACCGCGGCAAAAAGAGTAATAAAAATAATTACAGCTAATATGTATTGATGACACCTGGTTCTATCAACAAACTCCATATATATTATTTCGCCTAATAGTTATAAACACATATATAAAGTAGATATTGTTATTATCATCCCTATTTGCAGGACATTGAAGCTTGAAGCTTATAGAACTCAAGTAACTTGAATAAGGCCACAGATTTACTAAGCGGCAGAGTTGGGATTCAAACCTGGGTTTGCTCACTTCAAAGCATGGTACTTATCTACTCCACCATACTACTGCCTTCAGTAAGTTCTGGTTGTATTAGAGCTCTAGTAGCCAAACCATTATGTACAGGTGCTTAGTAGGAAAATGGAGCCAAGTTAAGTGGCTGGCTTGTTAGCATAAGGGTTCCTTTGAAATAGCTACAATAAAAAAACCCAGTGTCTTGTGTAAAGTTCACATTGTATATCTTTCCTTAAGATTGTTTATTTATTATAGAACAGAAGAATTTATCTACAATAGAACAAAGGATCTGGGGAATTTCGCATCCTATGCAGAGGGTTAGCAGTTCTATTTACACCCCCACAGGACCTCTGAAAATTGCTCTGCCTTCCTAAGAGTTTAGGCCAATTTGGATGACAACTTTCAAATTAGTGACACAGAAAAGGTTTAGGCTTTTATTCCTGAAACTTCCTGTATTTAGAACAGCTATTCACATGTTCTGTATACACTTAGTTTTATCCCTTTCTCTTTATTTATTGTGTAGCAATTTGCTATTCTATAATAGCACAATAATTATAAATATGTTTAAGAATTCATTCTCATTTCTGACATTTGAACTACAATATCATTAAGAAAATAGGTGTTTTTTGTCTTATTATGGTCTATATTGTAAAACTATGGCTGTTTTTCTAGCTATAAGATTAGGCTGGCATTCAAGGTTTTCTCTTCATAATTTTAACGCCATTTTTTTTCACATTATCTTCTGTCACTTCACCAGTGCAAGGCCCACTCTACCAACCCAACCCATTTCAAGTCCTGTTAGCTTTTGGTACACCAACATGTACACCAAGAAAAATCCTCTGCTTTCTTCACAGCTGCACACACCATCAGGTCCCAGTTTGAGTCCTTCTTATTTTTTATTTTTCATTTTTTCAGAGATAGAGTCTCGCTGTGTCACCCAGGCTGGAGTTGAGTTCAGTGGAGTGGTCTGAACAGAGCTCACTGTAGCCTTGAACTCTTGGGCTCAAGTGATCCTCCTGCCTCAGACTCCTGAGTAGCTAAGACTACAAGCATGGGCTACCGCATTCAGTTAATTAAAAAAAATTTTTTTAAGAGATGAGGTCTTGCTACATTTGCTACATTGTCCAGGCTGGTCTCGAACTCCTGGCCTCAAATGATCCTTCTGCTTTACTGGAATGCCTCTTCTTTATATCCTCTCTCATCAGCCTTCCTGGAGATGCTCTTCCTTCCCTTGAACTCTCATACTGTGTATATAATTCTCTCAGACCTTGGCATTTATTACCTCGCATTGCTTGTTAACTCTCCATGTCTGTGGCTCTAGTAATTCTAACTGAACTGTCCATTCTTGAAGATCAAGCCAGTTCTAAAATTCAGTGTCTCCCATAGTGCTTAGTATGGTGCCTTATACATTTTAAAAAATCACTGAAATTTAAGAGTACTTATATTAATATTATACTCATAATATCTATATTACTATATAAGCAAGTTAAAGATTTACGTTTTTTCTAAAACATGAAGTGGGAAGGTTGAATTTTAATTTGAAATTTGAAACTCCTTTGTATCTAGTATTTTTGGGTTACCTGGTTTCATGAGCAGAATGGAGAATTTATCTATTATCCAATAATAAATTCCATTATTATTTCTTTTTTTTAAAAAAATTTTTAATAATTTTAGTAAAAACAGACGGGATTTCACCATGTTGGTCAGGCTGGTCTTGAACTCCTGACCTCAGGTGATCTGCCCGCCTTGGCCTCCAAAGTGTTTGGATTACAGGCGTGAGCCACCATGCCTGGCCTCATTATTTTTTATTTGTTAGCTTTGGATATAAAATTGGGTCTGATCTGTAGGAAGTAATGTCAATAATTAGCTGCTAATTAGATTTATGGACTCTAAACTTGAGGTTTTAGTTTGTCTTAAACTACTATAAGGGTTGGCCAATACAAAAGTCACTATATTTAAGTAATTTTGATCTCTATCATGAAAAAGGTAGTAGAGTTTTCTTGATTTCAAGACATTCCAAATAAATAATCCCAGGTCTCTAAAGAAAAACAAAATCAAGAACTACCACAAATTTGCTGAATGTATGAAAATTAGCAGAAATAATTGGAATTCACATTACATATAGAAAGAGTCTTGGTTCCCCAAGAAAAAGAATGCCTGGTAAAATGCATAAAATCTTTTGGAAGAGAAGAGGAAAATTAGAAATCAAATGTGGTGTACAATCACAAAACAAGGCTTTGTTTTGCTCTTAATAGTAATTTACATACTTTGAAAAAGGATGAAAAACGTTACAAATGGGACTTCCTCAAATACTGGGTTTCACCTAAAAATTTTAATAGACTTTGTCTTTAAAAATTGAAATTTTATTATGTTTAATGACCAAAGGAAATAATAGAATCAAAAAATATAAAAATATTAAATATATAAGATATTGAACCTTTACATTACTACTGTATTACCCAATAAAATATATTTAATATATAGCTCAATTTATTTTATATTAATCTCAAATATTAAAAAGAACTCATTATACCAAATGATTAAAAAAATTATGTTAGCTTTTAAAATTGACAAATAAACCTAATTGTTTCATCTTCCAAATCACCGTTAGAGACTATATCTCATTTAATCATTATAAGGATCCTATCAGGTAGTTAATGGCAGATTTAGTAGGTGAGGAAAGTGAAGTTAAGTATAGGCCAGGGTTTCTCAACCTCAGCACTGTTGAGGTATGGGGCTGGACAATTCTTTGTGGTGGGGGGGCTGCCCTGTAAATTGTAGAATGGTTGTTTAACAGCATTCCCAGGACTCTACCCATTAGAGGTCAGTAGCATATACCCATGCCCCTTCACTACACAAGTGTGACAGCCAAAAATATCTGCAGACATTCCCAAGTGTCTTTTGAGGGGCAAAATCTCTCCCAGTTGAGAATCAGTGGTATAGGCCCACAGTCACATAGCAAGTGGCAGAGCTAGGGCAAGAACCCAGATTCTCCAACTCCTCAGTACAGAAGCTCAGGCCTCTGGATCATGCTGCCTGTACCACATTGGACCACATGTGTCCTATACCACATAGTACCACCCAGCTGTCCACAGAGTCTTTCAGCCTCAGTTAATAGCTACCTTCTTTTTTCAACACATAATCATTTGCATGAAAAAAATGCCTCCCTCTTCGACCTCTAAATATTTTTCATATTTTGTTTCTTATAATTCTTCTGAATAAATTTTTACATAAACTGAACAACAGATACTGAAAAAAGAAATCCACATACCGCTTTATAAAGTTAGCAAAAAGTATTCGATGGGAGAATCCTAGCCTTCGAATTCTCGCTGTTTCCAGAATTCCTGTGTACCGAAGCTGTAGTAGAACTTTCTCTTTGTCATATTTTCTTGCCTGACGTTCATTATTTGGCTTGATGCAACGGACAAAATGAGGTTGGCCTACCACCATTTTAGATAACAAATCCATCAGGGAATACTATAATATGCAACAAAAATAAATTTCCCAATGCATACAAAAACTTAAGAGCTTGCAGATCTTTCTTTTTACAAAAGAAACATTTGAAAAATGAATGTTATAAATGCTCGCATTATTCACAGTAAATGGAGGGAAATCTGTTTTAATGAACATTTTACTGATGGTATAGTTTAAAAAATACAGATTTACTTACAAAAATTTAGAGGCAATAACTAGAAATTTAGCTATTAAAAGTTTGCTTATAAACCATTAACGCAACTTTAATTAACAGATAAAACTATTTTTGATGTAGTTTGTAAGGAATTATATACTCTCAGGCTAACCTGTCAAATTATAATATTATACATTCTGGTTAATCCTGCTTATATATTAATTTCCTCGTCCAACTCTCTCTTTATGGAAGGTAAAAATGGGAATACTTTATAACACACACTGGAGCTTATTGGAGGGTGAAGGGTGGAAGGAGGGAGAGGATCAGGAAAAATAACTAATGGGTACTGGGCTTAATACCTGCAGACGAAATAATCTGTACAACAAACCCTCATGACACAACTTCACCTATGTAACCAAACTGCATGTTTACCCCTGAACTTAAAGTAAATTAAAAAGGGGAATACTTTAATTCCTGTTAGGATCATCTCTTAAAGTAAGGACAGAAAAGTTAATAGAGTTTAATATATAGGACATAGATATAAGCAAAGTAATAGCCAATTAAATATTTTCATCAGTTCTAATTTGATCGTTTTCTTATTTATTTTTAGAGAATTTTTAAAAATCACATAAATATGAAACTGTGTTCTATACCAATATCTTTTTAAAACAGTAGCCAATTACTAGACAAGTAAGTATAACATATTAGGATAATCAACTAAAAATGGAATCCCAGAAAGCTAGTATTTCCATGACCAGGATCACATTTATTGGCGAGGTAATGTATGGACACAAATAGCCATTGACAGCTGGATCCCCTTTAATGTTGGAAATGTAAAAGCCTGCGGTCACAAAGCCAGTGCAAAACAAATGCTGAAATTGGCAACTAAGAAATTGGGCAGTGAGACTCAGATGTGATCTTCTCCAACAGCTGGGCCTGCCACTTTGGAGTCTTTTTCATTACATTTATCTGTAAATCATCATTCCTTTAGTCATGCAAACATCTGCCAGGTACTGGTGATACAGGGGTGACGCTGAGCAGGAGCTTCCTGCAATTTAGTCGCTGGTTTTTCTGAAGGCCTAAAGTATAATGTTACACTGTGTTCAGTCTTCTCTGCAGAATGAAAAATAGCTTTAAAAACACACTACGTGTTGTGTAGAATTATTTTCTGTCAATTCTCACTTCAGCCTGAAGATTAAAATGATTTCATGAACTAATCTGGTTTAAACATACATACGGTGTTTGATGCCAACAACAGTGTTATCATAATGGTCTTGGGTAACTCATTTTAAAAAAGGAAACAATCTGGCTGTAAATATGTTCAGTGATTCACCTGTGCTGCATTTCTGATGTAAAGTGAAATGTTACCAGCAGCAAACCTCAGGTATTAAGCATATGAATGTACTAGGCACTACTCAAAGTGAGTACATATGCATTCAAATATGTACTTAAAGATGATTAAGTACACACTATCTATCTTCTATGAGCTTAGGACTTAAAAATATTTAGTAAAAGTATTCATGTATTTTTTAAAGAACTTTATGTTTCTGCTAGAGAATTGGATATATTTGATGAACATTTTATAGTAAATTTAATCTAATTTCCTCCACCTCCTCCACATTAAATTACATAAGTAATAAATCTAAGTTTTAGTGGTATTTTCTTCATTTTCATTGGCTGGTTAATAGGATTTTTTCAGAATAGATAAACAATAACTGGAACCAATAATAAGGGAAGGGCTATCTAGAGCACAGAGAAAATTAAAAAAAAAAAAAAACTTTTTTTTTTTTCTTTTTTCCCATATTGCTCAAGGAAGGAAGGTTGCCTTGATCCTATGCTAAGCACCGTCCCGTAGCATGTTACCGCATCTTCCTGATGACTCTTCCCTTTGACCCATTCCTACACAGGATCTATTTTCCTTTTGAGGTTTTTAGCTTAGCTCTGTACATTCAGTGTGATATGAAATGGAGAAGGATGCTCAGCCTTGCCCTACCTTTCTATTCTAAAATCACTTACAAGGGGGAAGGAGAAGTGGTAGTTATCATAGCATAGAATTAAAAATCCTTTTAGGTTTTATTCTAGTGGAAATGCATTCTGTTTTATGGACAAATTTTAATCAAGGTATAGACTTTCATTAAGATTGACCTGGGATATAATAATTTCACAGATAGAATATAAAAATAAACCAATCCACAGATTTTGAAGGTAGATGCTAACGTAACCTGTCTCTAACAAATAGTAAATGGAATACAGTAAACATTCTCTTTTGCTAGTGTTACTGTCTTTTGATCTATCACTCATTTAGAATAAATAGCACTGCTAAGCACAATACAGCATAGTTTAATATCTTACTCTAAAATATGATGCAACTGTTTGTGTTTTCATGTTGGTTGTCTCTCTGGCATGACGTGTGGCTTCTCCAGTGTCGCCCTAAAAGGACCAAGGAAAACAGTGATGCTTTATACTTTATGATCCACAGGGAGCATGTGGCATTTTCCTTCAGGCTATCTTAATTTATGCATTCAAATATGTAAAACAGCAAAATGTTTATATTCTTCCTTTAGGTAATTATTTGTCAGTCTCATTGGAATTTTAATTGGTCTTATGTAGACTCTGAATTTAAAACTAGCTAAGAAGGGCTGGGCACAGGGGCTCACGCCTGTAATCCCAGCACTTTGCAAATCCGAGGCAGGCGAATCATTTGAGGTTTGGAGTTTGAGATAGGCCTGGCCAATATGGTGAAACTCTGGCTCTACTAAAAATACAAAAATGAGCCAGGCGTGGGTGCCTGTAATCTCAGCTACTCGGGAAGCTGAGGCAGGAGAATCACTTGAGCCCAGGAGGCAGAGGTTGCAGTGAGCCGAGATTGTGCCATTGCACTCCAGCCTGGGTGACACAGTGAGACTCCAGTCTCAAAACAAACAAATACACAAACAACAAACAAAAACAAAAAATCCCCCCAAAAACTAGCTAAAAAAGAAGAGTTAGAAATATTAATATATCAGAAATGCCTGATTATTTTAGCCCCTAGCAGTAACATGAACATAACATAAATATCTATTCAAACAGAAAAGCAAGATCAAAGGAAGAAAAATTAAATGAAGGTGTTGACTTTGAGAAGCACATAAATATTGCCATTGTACAGGTTAGATTCTTAGACTCACTGACAAGAAAAAAATGCATCTTCTTACCTTTGCCAGATTGATTAATTTTTCTGAAGTCTTCATTTGATAGTTTATAACATTTTTAGTTTTAGAATGTGGCAGATTACCTATGGGAATGTAGAAAAAACTTAATATACCTTTTAGAATCCTTAATGGCTAGATGATTTTTCCCATTTACTTACATGTTAAAATAACTATTGTTAATACTACAATAGTCATACTCACATGTTTGGTTAACTATTTATGAAGGAACTTAGGAATAAAAAAATATGTGAAAATTTACAGCAAAAGTTCAGAAATAAATTATCTAGCTTGGAAAACAGAAAATGCAGAGGTAAGTGTTGGGTTTCCTTTCAATTGCCAGAAGGCTTGAGATGATTGTGATGGAGGGAACAGTTTGCTTCTTATACTTTTGTGTAATAAATGGCATCTGAGATTTTCTTTAATGAAAGCTAAGCTTTACAATGGGCCTGAAGAATCATATGAATCATCAATTTGCATAAGATGGTTATAAGCAAATCAACTATGGTTGGAGGTAATGGCCTTTTACAATCTAACTTTCAGAAACATGTGCTTCATTCTAGGGACTACTCAAATGCACACAATCCAAAGCAGTGAAAAAATTATGGCCTGAGGGGCCAGAAAGACTTGGCTTTGAATTCCAGGTATAGTACTTTAACTGTGTTGCCTTTGGATCATTTACTTAGTCTCTGATCTGCACCCAGAATCCATAAAATGGGAATAATGGTGATTACTTCACAGAGTTTAGATGAAATGTGATAATATCTCTGGCACACAAAGACCGCTGAAATGCACTAAGAACCAATCAACCCACAGTCCAAGAGTTTATTATCCTAATAGTTTGCAAAATATTTCCAAAATGCAGTAGCAATTCAGAAAGATTATTTCTTGTCTCTCTCCTTCTTTTAGGTGATAAATAGAGGCTAAATGTTTTTGGCAAATCTTTCCCATTCTTTATGGTTGCAAAAGACTGTCCTGAGATGGTGCAGGAAGAAATCGTGCTGGGGGCATGCCTGGCAGTGCCTTCATTCTGTTTCCTCCCTTCCCTCCGAACTCCAGGGGAAGGGCTGAGACAGGTGTGTGCAACAGCTTCCATGCTGGGCTTGCCCTGCACACTGCCCTGTTCACTTTTCAAATGTGAAACTTACTGACTATAAAGTGGACAGACAGAAACAGATGATCTTTAGAGTAGCAGTTTCAAGAATTTTGCTTAAATTCATTTATGTAGATCAACAGGAACTAAAATTAGCATAGACCTTAATTTCAGAAATATATCCATTTTGGTTTTTATAGTTCACATAATGAACAAATGTGTGATAAACCCAACTAATGATGTGAGCTGCAAGGAACTGTGGTGTACTTTCCCTTAAAAATGGCTGAACTATATGTCATATGTGAAGTCATAGATGCAAAGGGCCATGGTTATTTTAGAATCTTGAAGACAGCATAATATAGAACTGAAAAACTCTAATTCTAACACTTTCCATTTAGAAACCTTAGGAAAGCTGCTCAACACTTCTAAGCCTTAATGTCTTATTTGTAAAAAAAAGTAGTGCCTCCTTATTATGTTGTTGTTAGGAGCAATTGAAGGTGCTTAGAATGATGCCTGGCACATAATAGATAACACAGTTGTCTATGATTATTATTATGTGTTTGCACATCTGGGTGAATATAAAATCTATATGTCTTTGCTATCTCTGAGACTCTGAGTTTATTGAAACACACTCGACTATCAAGTTCTTCTCTTCTCACCAGCCAACCAGACACTGGTCTGCTGATAGTCAAGCAACACAACATAGTATCTAGAACCTGCCTGCATATTTTATAAGGGGGAAAAACATGGAGTTAGATGCATAGATGCTGTTGGTGCATATGGAAAGGGAGGGCAATTATCAAAGTCGAAAGTAATGACTTTTGCTTGTGGACCAGATGAAGTAACACAGACTAGATTAACTTTCCCACCCCAAACAACTAAAAAGACATACAAAATGGAAAACAGGTTTTACACATTGCGTGTCAAGCATTGTAAGGACATTGATCCCTAAGAGAAGGAAGACCAATGGGGTGAGCCCTCTGATTGTGCCAGCTTTCTTCTTGGAGAGGTGTCAGCCTGAAATGCAGGGAGTGAGGGAACTTAAGTAAAGCCTGGGAAAATAAGCAGATATAACCAACAGAAAACAAATGGCAAGATCATAAGAGTCAAATCCAACCATATTACTAATCATATTAAATGTAAATAGTCTCACAATTGAAAGGCAGACATTGTCAGACTGGATTAAAAAAAAAAAAAAACAAGACCCAGCTACGTGCTGTTTAGAAAAACCCTACTTTGAATATAAAAAACAAAAATAAGTTGAAATTAAGAGTATGGAAAAACATACTCCAGCCACTAATCATAAGAGAGCTGGAGTCTCTATATTAATGACAGGCAAAGTAGATTTCAGAACAAACAATACTGTCAAGGATGAAAAGGGTCATTACATAATAACAAAGGAGTCAATCTGTCAAGAAGACATAACAATTTAAAATGTTTATGTACCTAACAATATAGTTTAAAAATACATAAGTTTCATAAGTGAAGGAAAAATAAAATCCTTTGGGAACATGCAAATACTCAGAGATTTCGTCACCATCAGGCCAGCTCTACAAGAGCTCCTGAAAGAGGCTCTACACATATAAAGGAACAACAAGTACCAGCTCAACTAAAGGGCAAAACACCCAGCTAGCACCAAAATGGCAGTATCAAATTCACACATAACAATATTAACCCTAAATGTAAATGGACTAAATGCCCCAATCAAAAGACACAGACTGGCAAATTGGATAAAAAGACAAAACCCATCGGTGTGCTGTAACCAGGAAACCCAACTCACATGCAGGGATACACAAAGGCTCAAAATAAAGGGATGGAGGAAGATTTACCAAGCAAATGGAGAGCAAAAAAAAGTTGCAATTCTCATCTCTGATAAATTAGACTTTAAAGCAATAAAGATCATAAGAGACAAAGGGGGACATTACATAATGGTAAAAGGATCAATGCAACAAGAAGAGCTAACGATCCTAAATATATACGCACCCAATACAGGAGCACCCAGATACATAAGGCAAGTTCTTAATGACTTACAAAGAGACTCAGACTCCCACACAATAACAGTGGGAGACTTTAACACCCCATTGTCAACATTAGACAGATCAACCAGACAGAAAATTAACAAGGATATCCAGGACTTGAACTCAGACCTGGAACAAGCTAACCTAATAGACATTTACAGAACTCTCCACCCCAAAGCCACAGAATATACATTCTTCTCAGCACCACATCACACCTACTCTAAAACTGACCACATAATTGGGAGTAAATCACCCCTCAGCAAATGCAAAAGAACGGAGATCGTAACAAACAGTCTCTCAGACCACAGTGCAATCAAGTTAGAACTCAGACTTCAAAAACAAACCCAAAACCGCACAGCTTCATGGAAACTGAACAACTTGCTCTTGAATGTTGACTGGATAAACAATGAAATGAAGACAGAAATAAAGATGTTCTTCGAAACCAACGAGAATGAAGACACAACTTACCAGAATCTCTGGGACACCTTTAAAGCAGTCTCTAGAGGAAAATATATAGCAATAAGTGCCCACATGAGAAGCAAGGAGAGATCAAAAATTGATACCCTATCGTCAAAACTGAAAGAGCTAGAGGAGCAAGATCAAAAAAACTCAAAGTCTAGCAGAAGACAAGAAATAGCTAAGATCAGAGCAGAACTGAAGGAGATAGAGACACAAAAAACTCTTCAAAAAATCAATAAATCCAGGAGCTGATTTTTTGAAAAGATCAACAAAATAGACAGACCACTAGCCAGATTAATAAAAAAGAAAAGAGAGAATAACCAAATTGATGCAATAAAAAACGATCAAGGGGATATCACCACAGATTCCACAGAAATTCAAACCATCATCAGAGACTATTACAAACAACTCTATGCACACAAACTAATAAACCTGGAAGAAATGGATAAATTCCTGGACACTTGCCTCCTGCCAAGCCTAAACCAGGAAGAAGCCGAAACCCTGAACAGACCCATAACAAGGTCTGAAGTTGAGGTAGCAATTAAGAGCTTACCACCTAAAAAAAGCCCAGGTCCAGATGGGTTCACAGCTGTATTCTACCAGACGTACAAAGAGGAGCTGGTACCATTCCTTCTGAAACTATTCCGAACAATACAAAAAGAGGGAATTCTTCCCAAATCATTTTATGACACCAACATCATCCTGATTCCAAAACCCGGCAGAGACTCAACAAGAAAAGAAAACTTCAGGCCAATATCCATGATGAACATAGATGCAAAAATCTTCAATAAAATACTGACAAGCCGATTGCAACAGCACATCAAAAAGCTTATCCACCATGATCAAGTAGGCTTCATCCCGGGGATGCAAGGATGATTCAACATACGCAAGTCTATAAACGTAATTCACCACATACACAGATCCAAAGACAAAAACCACATGATTATCTCAATTGATGCAGAGAAGGCCTTTGACAAAATTCAACAGCCCTTTATGCTAAAAACCCTCAATAAGCTAGGTATCGATGGATCATATCTCAAAATAATAAAAGCTATTTATGACAAACCAACAGCTAATATCATACTGAATGGGCAAAAACTGGAAGCATTCCCCTTGAAATGTGGCACCAGACAAGGATGCCCTCTCTCACCACTGCTATTCAATATAGTGTTAGAAGTTCTAGCCAGAGCACTCAGGCAAGAAAAAGAAATAAAGGGCATTCAAATAGGAAAGGAGGAAGTCAAATTGTCTCTATTTGCAGACAACATGATTGTATATCTAGAAGACCCCATCGTCTCAGCCCCAAACCTCCTGAAACTGATAAGCAAGTTCAGCAAAGTCTCAGGATACAAAATCAATGTGCAAAAATCACATGCATTTCTATACACCAATAACAGACTTAAAGAGAGCCAAATCAAGAACAAACTTCCGTTCACAATTGCCACAAAGAGAATAAAATACCTAGGAATACAACTAACAAGGAACGTAAAGGACTTCTTCAAGGAGAACTACAAGC